ACGTGTTTGGAGGAGAAAGTAATGCTGAGTTGCATCCAAAGAACACCATACCTACTGTGAAACATGGGGGTGGAAACATCATGCTTTGGGGCTGTTTTTCTGCAAAGGGACCAGGACGACTGATCCGTGTAAAGGAAAGAATGAATGGGGCCATGTATCGTGAGATTTTGAGTGACAACCTCCTTCCATCAGCAAGGGCATTGAAGATGAAACGTGGCTGGGTCTTTCAGCATGACAATGATCCCAAACACACCGCCCGGGCAACGAAGGAGTGGCTTCGTAAGAAGCATTTCAAGGTCCTGGAGTGGCCTAGCCAGTCTCCAGATCTCAACCCCATAGAAAATCTTTGGAGGGAGTTGAAAGTCTGTGTTGCCCAGCGACAGCCCCAACACATCACTGCTCTAGAGGAGATCTGCATGGAGGAATGGGCCAAAATACCATCAACAGTGTGTGAAAACCTTGTGAAGACTTACAGAAAACGTTTGACCTCTGTCATTGCCAACAAAGGGTATATAACAAAGTATTGAGATGAACTTTTGTTATTGACTAAATACTTATTTTCCACCATAATTTGCAAATAAAGTCTTTAAAAATCAGACAATGTGATTTTCTGGATTTTTTTCTTCTCATTTTGTCTCTCATAGTTGAAGTATACCTCGGATAAATATTACAGGCCTCTCATCTTTTTAAGTGAGAGAACTTGCACAATTGGTGGCTGACTAAATACTTTTTTGCCTCACTGTATGTGGCAAACTTTCCCTTTGCACCAAATTGACAGAGTAGGCAAAAGAAAATGCAGATGTATTTCCATTATATGCAAACTTGATAAAGATATGTTCAAGATACATCCTGAACAGTTCTTGGCTGGAAACATATTCTTAATAATATTTTTGCGCAATGATTTCTTGTTACTTATCAGTGAAGATATGGCTATATCTAATAAGCCGACAGATCAGTCTTGCTCTGAAGGTAAACGACTGATAGGGATCAGGAGCAAAACAAAACAGGACACAGTGTTACCTGAGCTCGGTGAATGTTAACTTCAAACAGGCCTCTTTGCACAGATCTGTAATCCATCCATGGGGGAGATCCCCCCCGAAATTCCCTGCCTCGACTTCAAAATGCTCACTGTACAGAAAACATGATTTAGAGTGTTCGTTAAAAGTCACACTATCCTGATTAAGCTGTCCAATCTCCAGGTCATCCCATTATTTAAAATCTAATACGTATTGTGCCATTTTTAACCAAACACTGTTTAAAACGTATTTGACAGAAGTTAGACCCCTAATAGGATTGCAAGGATACCCAGGACGGTTCCCTGAGGAACACCAACAACCAGCTTTATATATATATACAAGTAATAGTATAAAATCAGATAACAGACCTGTAACTAACTTTCTTTCAAAGCATTTTTCATATAATTAATAGGTTTTTCAATGGTTTATAGAGTTTAAAAAGTCTTAACCTATAAAAGGAAAATGTAATTCTTCCATTTAATCAACCAAATTTGTAGATTTGAGCGGCTTATACTAATGTTAAGTAGACGATTAGTATATTGCTTCTAGCCACCAGACAAAATTAAGAATACCCAAAGAGTCAATTTTGGTAATTTTGCACTTCAAATGCAATGCCTAAAGGAAAAGGAGTCAACTCCTATAGAACATTTTAAATACGTTTTGGGTGGAGTTGAGGACCTCACCTATCACCACGTACGTCATTTTCTTTCAACTAATCAATTGAATTATATTTGTATCCACAATTTAATTGTTATGCTCAAGAACCCGTGCATTTTCTTACCAATACTGTGATGACTACTACAGGGGAAATATGATTCTTGTTTACTGGCTACAGAGTCCTTGCTGAAATGAATGTGTGTTTTTTTTACATTTGTTTGGAGGATCCTGTTCTTTTAACTTCCCTTTACCATTATATTGCTGAGTTTTACGAAGAGGCACATTCAGCTTTGTCAGTGTGACCAGCGTCTCTTGATTCCCAGCATGCTCACTGCCCTCAGGTCACACACACTGTGTGTAAAAAGAAGAACCACACGTCTGTGTGGCAACAGTGTGAAGAAGCCGGACATCTGACTGGTGGTTTGGTGTTGTTGGGTCGGGTCAGGAGGGGAGGTCATAATCAAGTTACATTTTTTTAACCTCATCTAATTCCTCATTTTAAATAACTGAATGGCCACCTGAGATTTTGGTTGTTGGGATTATTTGATACTGCCAGTAACTTCTGCAAAATTATGATTTCAAGTCTTTGAATGAGTGCAAAATAACCCAGAAGAGATTTTTTTTTTTAACTTCTTTGATATCATTCTTAGTAACACAGAGACTAAATAAAAAAGCTACAACAACAACATAAGAGAACGCCAATAAACAAAAATGGCCTTTTGGTTTTTTAAGGAAATTAAAAATGTTGATACCTAAAAAGTAGATGTGACCAAAGGAGGGAAAAAAAATGGATGTCTTCCCTTCTGTGTCCAGATCAGTGCCAGTTTCAGCCGTGGTGAGGTTAGCTGCCGTAGAGGAGGGAGTGCTGGGCCTGAGGAACCTTAACTCAGCATCCTGTCTGTCTCACTGTCCGCTCCGACCCAAAGTCCGCCTCAGTACGTTACCATCACACATCACACAGTGAGTCATCCAGTCAGGGCAGAGCTTCTAATTAGAGTTTGTGGAGGGTTTTCTCACGTAATGTCACTCCACAGACCGACAGGATGACAACTATATTTTCCCTTTTAGTGTGCGACATTCACACGCTGCCTCCTTTACAAGAAATCCAGCTCCAGCGCTTGGTGCAGGGACACGAGGTCTCCGTGATTGGAGATCCGCCAGAAAGGCATGTTGTGCTGCAGACAGGGAGACGAGTACAAACAAAGAATTTAAAAAAGTGTGAGAAACAAACACTTAGTAGTACATTATGGTCAGAAGACTAGCTGTTAGTCTGCCCTGATATTCAGACTGGATTTTAGGTCTATTTATTAAACTAGAAATATTCCCATTGTGAACCATAATCTCTCCCGGTCAAGAAAGCAGCATTTAAGGTTTCACATAAAGAAACAAAACCAGACTTAAAACTGTAATTTTGCCAGTAAAGTAACAGTGTATACCCATGTATGTCCAAAATGTTATGACTTTATCCTATAATTGCCTGTGATTTATTGAGTTAGGGAGAATAACGAAACATAGTCAGTTAATATCTCGAGTTTTTAAGTTTGTAGCAAATTTGAAATAATTTCCATTGTGTGCATGTTTATCTCAGAAAATATATAATCTATCCCACTCTTTCTTAACACAAAAAGCTAGACTTGCAGCGACTGTACTTGTATTTGCCAAACTTTCGGGGCAAACGACAAAAACAAAAGAAGGCAGGCGTAACGGCCCGTCCACACGGCGCCGTGTGTTGAAGCTTCTGCCCATTCATTTTGAATGGGATGACGTCACACATTGCCGAACTGCATTGTGGGAGCGTCGCTTCGCTTTGCTCGCTTCAAAAGTTGAGCAATGTTCAACTTTTGAAGCTTCGACGGAAGCGTCAGCCAATCAAATCATATGCCAGTACAAGCTCTAGCCAATCAAACCGCGTGCTTGTGTGTCCGGGGCGGGAGATTCATGTGATTGGTTGTTGGTCGAGCTTCAGACACACCCGCCGGCAAGCTTCAACGCACGCCGCCGTGTGGACGCTGCGTAAGGAGTCATACCTGTTTTGCTGCAAACTCCTCATCTCGACCGTCACCTATCACCACGTACGTCACTTTCTTTCCAAAGCGAGAGACGATCCTTTCAAAGCAACTCTCTTTACCTGCAGGAAATGAAATACAAATATTACAATCCCAACAGTTCCCCCTTAGTCCCAGTGGAGAAGAAAATATTGTACTAACTATTTTTCTACGTACCAATTTTAGTGGCACTGTAGATGTTCTCGATGGGGAAGACGTCTCCCAGGCCGTACAGCAGCACCTTGGCCAGAGCTGGCACCAGCTGAGTGGTGGTGACCAACACATTCATACACTTCCCCCTGGTGGAACCACACACACCGCTAATTGTCATGTCACCTCAGAAATTCAATTCAGGTCATTTCAATTTAGAGAACACACACACACACACACACACACACACACACACACACACAC